TCCTCTTTTGGAAGGCCAAACAAAGTAGTTTCGCTTTCACAATGCGTACACAGCGCTTTCATGACATGGCAGCAACAATACTACAGCCAGAATAAAAGTTACGCCTTCTTTCTTTGCGTGAACATTTGGGCGGCGTTATGCAAATCTTCCCACATCGTGACGTAGACATGTGGGGGCGTGTTAGAACGAGCCGTTTTAGATAGGCGTGGCTGACTCTTAACTTTTATAAAGAATATCTCTTTGAATTTGAGACTTTAGTCTTTGCAACTTTACAGATCTTCTTTATGCACCAAGAGCTTGTAACACTCCAAAGAGAAAGGAAAAATTGAAATCGCATCATATGACCCCTTTAAACATGTATATGGTGGGAATTTACTATGAAGGATTTGGTGTATAATTTAAATTCAATTTCAGCATTCAGATACAGGTTTCTGCCAATTTTTTTGACATCTCAGCATATTCTCTTTGTGTGTGTTATTAATACTCACCGGTGGTCTCCACGATCCCCTCTAAGATAACCACAATCTCAAATTGCTCTGTTTGCATTGACCTGAGCGAGAGGTCGTAGAATGGGCTCTTGGAGTCGATCACATGGCAGATCGTCAGAGGGGACACTAAGAAAAGCTGGTCGGCTCCTGTACTGAAACCTACGTCCAGCTCAAGTTGATCCAGAGGCAAAAACTCACCTTCAGGAGTCTGGCGGGACTGCAGGGAAAGGTAGAGAAAGAGAAATACTTAGGATGAAACGGGGAGATGATGGAGTGTGAGTGAGAGAGAAAGACCAGGTCTAATGCATCTACAGTGATCCAAAAGGGACTGTTGCATCCAAGACTCATGGAGGGGATCAATACTGTAGGTGAACAAATCAAATTACAGGTCTTTCTCATTTGTCTAGGCTTGAGGTAATGATAGGTTATCGAAAGAACCTAAGCTTGAACCCATTAATATTATATTCAAGCGTTATGTTTGAAATTCATTTATGTATAGGCTATTTTTAACTGCGAGATCTCCTAATGTAACCCGCACATAATGTGTTATATGTTTCATTTCCTCTCTCTCTCCTTTTTCTCACTTTCTTTTTGTTGTTGTTGGTTCCAGTCGTATACTCACTTTGAGTAGTTTGCAGCGTATTTGCGCGGAGACCATATGGCTGTTCCGCAGGTTCCCCACTCGGAACATCAGGGTCAGCTTGCCGTCACGCATGGAAATAGCCGCGTGCTCGCTGAACATCAGCGTCTCTGCGCGTTTCTTCGGCTGGGACATCTTGATGAACATGCAACCGATCAGAAAAGCGTCTACTATAGAGCCCAGGATGGACTGGAAGAGAAAGAGAATGATGCCTTCCGGACACTTGTCTGTAATGTAGCGGTAACCGTATCCGATAGTAGCCTCAGTTTCGATGAAGAACAGAAAAGCGGAAGGAAAGTTATGCACATTGGCCACGCACGGTGTGTACTTGTCATCATGGGCTTGGTTCAGGTCTCCACGTATAAAGGCAATGACCCACCACATTGAAGCCATGAAGAGCCACGCCACCGTGTAGGTAAGGATGAAGATGAATAGATTCCAGCGCCATTTGAGGTCCACGAGCGTGGTGAACAGGTCCGACAGGTACCGGCTGGTTTCTCCTCCCAGGTTCCCGTGCTGGACGTTACAGCGGCCGTTCTTGTCCACAAAGCGCTGGCGTTTCCTTTTCTTCTCGGGGGCCGCCTGGTTGAACCCGCCGCCGCTGGACGAAGTGGTCACCACTTGATAATCATCCCCAAATTTTTTCCGCAACGCTGACATCCTTCACGGCTAAAGTTGTCCCAGATATACGAGAATGCTTTGCGTGCTTGTTCCTGACAAACTGTTCTCGGTTTTCTTCACACTTCAGGTACACCAGTGTCCCGCATTTCTGGGCAGATAATTTCAAAAAAAGTTATTTTTAGGGCTTACTGTCAATAGCAGCGCGTTGATCTTGGGATGGAGCGATGCAGATCTCCTTGTCTTCTCCAAACCCGCATAACTAGTAAAAAAATGACTCACTCAGCCAAGGCTGTAAAGTGTGGAGAAATATGGATGCGAGTAATTTGTAATCTCAGATTGGCTTGGCGCAGTCTAGCATTTGGTGCGTTGGTACCCTCCGCTTCCTCCACCTTCATCCACTCCTGTTTCCCCAGGTGTATTGCACCAAATTTGATAAGATGATAGTTGGTAGACGCCCTAAGGATCCTATCCAAGTTTAACTCACCGCCTCTGCTGATCCTGGCGGCTGGCAAGCTTTGTTATCTGATTCTGTTCGTCTTCACTATTCTCGGTTCCTGCACACTGCGCGCCTCCAGCTCTCAAACTCTATCTCCAGCCCCGACAAATAAGAGAAACTTCTCTGAGAGGGTGGAGGTGGAGATGGGAAGTGGGGGAGGGATGAACACGTGTTCTTGTGTTGGATACATCTTTTTTGCTACGTTTGTAATATGCTTCTCTGAACAGTGCTGCATACAACGTGATCACTGCAAGATGTGTTTTGTTTACAGCCAATATGCAGGATGCGAATTAGAGGAGGGTTGGGGTTTGGGGGGACCCCCCTAATTAATTAATGCCCCAATGGAACTCAAAATGGAAAGTTAAATATCAGTTACATTTTCAGATGTTAGTAATCACAAGTTTCGAATTCAAATTAGTGGCTAAATACATGCTTGCAAACACAATTTGCATTCACATGAGGAAATAACCATAGCAACAGCAGCTGCTTGAGCACATTTGTACACTGACAACATTTACATAGCCTATCACAAAAAAAGGTGCTCTTTTTTCCCCCAAAGGTCTCGAAGACTGTTCTTTGCTAAGGGTGCCAAAATACATTTTTCGCGTAAGCAATTGAGTCCAGAAATTACAGCTACCATCAGCTCATCCTAGAAACAAGACAATGCATGAAGCATTAATTCAGGATTTAAAAGGACAGAATTTAAGGGGATAGTTCACCTAAAAATAAAACATTTGATGTTTATCTGCTTACCCCCAGGGCATCCAAGATGTCAGTGACTTTGTTTCTTCAGTAGAACACAAACAAAGATTTTTAACTCAAACCGTTGCAGTCTGTCAGTCGTATAATGGAAGTGAATGGGAATCACGGCTTTGAGAGTGAAAAAAAACATACACAAACAAAACCAAATGAAACCCTGCGGCTCGTGACGATACATTGATGTGTAAAGACACGAAACTATCGGCCTGTGCAAGAAACTGAACAGCATTTAAATATTTTTTTTTTACCTCTGATGCATTGCAATGTCTGAACTGTCCTGAGCGTGTCCTCGACAGTCGTGTCTTCTTCTTCTTCTTGCTTTACGGCGGATCGCTGACTTATAAGTGCATTACCGCCACCTATCTCTCAAATGGGGCACTGACCCTCCATTTTACAT